CTAACTTTATCAAAGAATTAGTTGTCAACTATGACTAAGGTCTGTAAAACCAACTATAATACTTTATATCATATCATTAAGGTATAACTTTCTATATCTGATTAAACAGTTTGACTTGATACGAAGTGGCCTTACATAGCTTATGCTACAAAAACTACCATATCTTATAGATAACACATAACCATAGTGACTTCATACCTATACTATCAAAGTAATCCAGAAATTGAACCTGACATCTACACCTAGTATAAGACCTAGATGTCATGAAAAAATAATATCATATACCCTTATAGGCTTGAAGGAATCATTTTAAAGGTAATCTTTACTGAAACAAGGGATTAGGATCTTTCTAGAAGTGAATTTCACCACACTATATGATATATCATGGCTGAAGACAGTATAATATCAACCACCTGTAATCATTACCATCTACCCTTTTGAGATGATAAAATAATTATCAAGTAACTATTATATAACATCTACTATTAAATATTACCTTATTAGATTTTATATTGCAAATGATGTAATATTAACTACTACAGATAATGTCCTTCATTTTTTGTCTAATTTGATCTATCACAAGTTATTCTTAACTGAGATCATCATATTCTACAAATTCAGATCTACCACATTGTTACCGGCTAAAAATTCACTATTGAAAAGTTGATCTACAAAGAATTATTAAGTGATTTACAGAAGTTACTAGAATTAATTTTATATCGATCACAAATTAAATGATCTGCAAAATTCTGGATTTTGATGATTCTTAGGATCCACAAGATTCTGAGAATTCGTAGGATTCTTAGGATTTACTGGATTCTTCAGATTATCATGATTCGTTAGATTTTTCTAATTTTCTATATTTTCATTATTTTAATTATTATCGTTATTCTTCTTATTTGTATTATTTTTATTATACTTATTATTATCTTTATAATTATTATTCTTCTTATAATTATTATCATTATTATATTAATACTTGTAGTTATAAATTGAGTTAGTTTATAATGTAGCAATTAGTTAGCTATAACAAATTAATTTTGTATAAATAAAATAGCTTTTTGCTCATATTGTAAATTAACTCTTTTACAAGTTCTTTGAACTCTATTGCGAGTTTCAGTTTTATTACAAGTTTAAGTAATAAATAAAGGAATCAATTTTGAAAAATAATTATTTTTTCCTTCTATGTGTTCATTATCTAAGATTTGATTGTGAATCACTATACTAACTTGTGAATGAGTTCGTCACTTAGAATAAATAAATTCTTTAAATTTCCTAAGTCCCTAAATCCTTAAGTTCGTAAACCAAGTGAAATAATTCCAAGAAATTCCAGATACTTGTAAAACGAGAGATTTCCTAAAGTTGTAAAGTCTGACATTAAGGAAGTTACTTACTGTAGCAATGGAACTTAAACAAATTATGTGAAGTAATAAGAGAAGATTATTTTCAGTGATAATATATATGATTTGCATACATCTTATAAAATTCATTCTTAGAATTGAACTGGTAAATCCCATAATTATAATTATGATTTGCTATGGCTAAAGACTGAATTAGGATCTATTGCAGTGTAATCTACAATAGGGTCTCAATTATTATCAAATAAGACAGGATCGCTAGATCTTTAAAGATTCAAATGGTTTTTTTAACGATGCAGTACTGCCATTAAGTTTATTGATTTTATATTGTATATTAAATAAAATTTACAAAGAAAAAATACAAAGTAGATAAAAAATTAAACTAATGACTATTTCACGTAGTCCTATTGCTAATAAAAGCTCAAACCCATTTAGACTAACTGATCACCAGAATCCCTCTCTAACTACACCAAAAAATCCATATCTAATGATTAAGCTGTCAACAAGAAATTCAAATGAGGTTGTCAATATAGCAACATAATTTCTAAATGCCATTCGATCCCAACTTCTAAATAAAATTTAAAAACTAACAACCCTCCTAAGAAGGGAAATAGGTACAAATAGAAATTATTAAAAAAGATAAATATAACTTTATAAAAATCTAAATGTCCAGTTAATTTTGGATACAATGACCATTCGACCAAAAAAGGTGCATCTAAAGAAAGGTTCAAACAGAGGCTCTTTATACTTATAGATTCATAAGTACGGAAAAAATATCACATAGAATCTACTATGAGAACCCTACAAAGAATCAACAGATAGTAACCTATACTCTCTACCTGGTTACCAGGAAGGAATGGATCTAGACGAAGCGGACTTACACCATAAGGATTCAAATATAATTGTTTCATAAGAAATGGAGTGATATTGACAGAGATCATACTTTTTTTATTTTTTAGATATTTTAGATACTATTTGTAAATAAAATTAATATAGATATGATTTACTGTGATTATATAAAGGGATATAATTTGATGTATTATATAGGATGTGATTTTCTTACATAAATTATAAGATGGGACTAAAAATTGATGTGATTATATTATTGTGATTATAAAAGGGGTATTTTCTTATTTAAAAATTGGGGCGGAATTAAAGAAGGGGTGTGATTATATAGGAGTTGACTATAGAGAGGGTCAACTGTAGATGGATTCATATGTAAAGCTGAACGACTTAAAAAAATGATCGTCGTCACATGATCGACATCAATTTCGAAAACAAATAAATTTATTGCTGCTGCGGCTTTATAACTCCACTTTTTTGAAATTTAAGGCGGTTTTCACACATTGTTGGTTAGTTATCATTACCAACTTTAAGCACTCGTTCACGGTCATATGGTGACGCGCTTCTCGTTCTTCCGCAATTTCATCACTCTATTCGAATAGTAATAGTATTTGTATTAATAATCTTTTCATTTATTTTTATATTGATTAATAATATGTACTGTATATAGCACGAATAGAATAAGAATATTAATAAATTATATAACGATTTGGATGGGTGAAATAAATTTTGTGAATATATTTATATCTAAAAATTAAATAAATAAACTTGAAGTGTCAAATTTATCTTAATAAAATAAACTCTGAAATATAACAGTTAATTTTCGAATGTAGTAAATTAAATTAATAAAAATATAAACAAATTAATAAATTATTCGTTGAATTTTCGCTCCAGGCTCACAACGGTTTCCGTTTCCTAGTATTTAATAGTACTAAGTTTAAATCTAATAAATTTATTAAGCATTTATCAAAATTTCTTCTTATTCTAATTAAATATAAGTAAAAAAATTTTTTAAATATATCAATTTTTTACTTAGATCATTAACTAAATGGATGCTTTGCAATAGAAAAGAAGAAACTATTAATATATAAATATGTGTACCTTTTAATTTGTAATTAATAACTTATTTAGTAGATTAATGTAAACTTAGTCCTTTTGAAATCAAGATGAATTAATATTAATTAAACTCCAAATTGGTCACGAAAGGATTAAAGAAAATATCAGAGAAAAAGTACGCTGCTGATTTTGAAGATTCGTTGTCTCATTGGAAGTAATAGTCTGAGTCTATTGAGTCTATCAAGGGTCTATTTAATGATGTATATTAAACTGTATATCTAATCAAAAAGTAGTAGTTCTTTATCCTGAAAAGGTAAAATCAAAAGCAATATTGGTGTTTCACAGTATAAAAATCATAACGTTAAATCTATATCAAGTTCGCTGAATAATATTCACGTGAACAAATGAACAAATTAAAACCACTGATCGCAAAATTGGAATTGATCGTTAATATAAAATTTTCTTTCCAAATTTTCTTCATGATATAAAAATGTACACATCGTCTTATTTATCACATTCTTCAATTGGTTCAACCATACACCGTAAATGCATTATTGCATTCAAACATAAAATTCCCCTACTTACCTTATCATATACCCATAAACATCTTTCTTATAAACACCCTTCTTATTCTTCCCGCTTAATTTCTTCCATTTCTAAAGGAATCAATTCGAATAATAATGTTCAAAAAAAAATTCCATTAACTCCAAAACAAAAACGACTCATTGATTGTATGATCAGAATCGATCAAGCCGGTGAAATCGGCGCAAACTACATTTATAAAGGTCAGTTGGCAATATTGGGAAGCGATAAAAAAGTTAGTCCTATCATTAAGGTAAATTATTTGATTATAAACTAGAATCATTAAAAATGATGTATAATCAGAATGATTTATAATATTTTTAACTAGGAAATGTGGGAACAAGAAAAGTTTCACCTTAAAACTTTTGATGAGATCATAGCACGTTTTAGAGTTAGGCCCACGATTTTACGTCCAATATGGGAAGCTGTAGGGTTCATTGTTGGAGCTGGTACCGCTATGATGGGTAAAGAAGCTGCCATGGCTTGCACAGAAGCTGTGGAAACTGTGATTGGACAACATTACAACGAGTATATGATTTTTTTGATTTATCGTTAAATTTTTTCGTTAACTTGATAATTAAAATGGTTTTTTTTTTTAGTCAATTGCGGGAACTGTTAAGCATCGATCACGAAGATATTGCTGAATTAAGAAAGGTATTATCTGATAAAAATATTAAGTATTGTTGATTCATAGATTTTATTAATGCTTGATATATAAGATCATTAAAGAATTTCGCGATGATGAATTACAACATTTGGATACTGCGGTAGACTTTGATGCAAAAAAGGTGACTTAAAAAAAATTATTTATAATTTATTTTTTCTATAATGAAGTTCAATTTTTTTAATATCATTTTTCATGTAAGGCACCATTTCATGGTCCTTTGACAGCGATAATACATCACGGTTGCAAAGCAGCAATATGGATAACTGGTAGATTGTAAGAACTTTGAAAGTTTCATCGATGATTCCAAAAATACAACCTCGAGAGGAATTAATTTATTGTAGCTTTTTACTGGTTTTTTTTTTTTTTCCTAAAAAAAAATATTGGTTGACTATAATGACTGAATGTGAATGTCAAATTAGATATATTAATTGTTATATGAAAGATGTAATATATTCTATATCAAACATGCAAAAAGAATATGTGCTGTCACAAAATTAAGTATTACTATAATCTTCATCTTCAGGAATGGTCAATTCTCTGACATTCCAATCTTCAAAACTTCCATCCGGTAAATATCTTCGTATCATCAAAGGAATTTTTTTAAATCGAAGCTCTTTTTTAGCTATCTCGAGGGGATCCGTTTCGTTCTCACGCGGAACGAGGATTGGAGCATTCATACTTTATATAAAAGATTATACAAGATTTATCGTAAAAATATCGGAATTTAAAAATTTAAAATATTATCTACCTTATTTGTAAAGCTCTGGTTCCCAATATCCGTGCTTTTTCGTACTTCGTCATGTAAGGAGTTGTAACCCTTTCTTTTTCTACGACCACTTGCTTATTACTATCAACGTCCATCTCTGTACCCTCCACACCATTTACCAGTATCGCAACTCCATTTTGTACATTGATACCAGGTATTCCTCCTTCTCTTTGTTCATCAAATCCATTTGGAATTTCTGGTTCTAGTTCTTCATCTATCGTTTCTGGTTCAAACTCATCTTCCTATGTCAAAAATAAAATAAAAATTAAATGAATAATTCCTTAAATAATTTTTAAAATATAAAATATTACATCATGAACTCACTAAAATTTCATCATTATATCTATTTATATTTGTTATAAAGAAAATGTTTTTAGTTAATTTCTAATTCGGAAAACAAGCCGAAGCCTGAAGAAATTTCAAAAATGAAACTTACCCTGCGTCGTCATTGCCGTAATCTTCGTAATCTGACATTGGAGGTATTTTTTTATTAGAAATAGGTTGACAAAATAAATTAATCTGAATTGTTTGTCAATATTTGAATTGATCAACCAATTACGTCTCGATATGTTATTGAAATATATAAAAGGAAATGTTCCCGCACAGTTTCTTTTGGTTTCTTCACTGTTATGTTGTTCAATTTTTAGAATACTGTATTCCCCTTCCTCTTCTTTTATATTTCTTTTTTTCTTTTATATATTCAGTTTCTCAGTAGCATAAGTATTCTGTATTAAGGTAAATAAATACTGATAAGCTTGCTTTAAAGTTGAGTGACCTTTTTTTTTTTTAAAAAAAAAAGTATTTTGTAATATGAATGAATATTATTATTATTTCTTTATAGTATGGACTCGATGGAATTTGATGGCCCAGGTGTACATTCATCAAAAGAATTTCAAATTAACGTAATTTTGGAGTACTTTTCGGAACCAATTAGGTATCCTCCAGAAGCCAGGATGCAAGACAACATTACATTCGAAATGTTTGTCAATATTTGTTATCATCTACCTCCAAAAGATCTATTGATGTTGGCCTGTGTTTGCAAGCATTTTAGAAATATGCTTGATGGAAACATTTTTTATATTTCATGGGATATTTGGAAATCGTCCAGAGAAAGGTTTACTCCTTTCAAGGACATGGGTCCACCGAACGGGTTAAACGAGCAGAAATTCGCTCGATTGTTGAAATTTGAAAACGGATGTGAATTCTGCAAGCGTACAAGCGAGCGGATTCAGATCTATTGGATAGCTTGTGTTAGATCATGTAAAGAATGTCTACATAAGAGAGCCAAAAGGTAAGAATTTCTCATCCCAATTTATGAACTACATTTGTACGACTTTCCAACCATGAACCACGATATAGTGAAACCCTTAAGCTTATTCACTTCCAATTTAGTAAGAATTTGTAGCTATTCAATTGCGACTCTTATATATCGTATATAACTTTAATTAATGTTATCGTTTTTTACATATGGATGGCATTTAATGAGTCGGAAGTGAGATAGTTTTTTGAGAGACACTATTGTTGTTCAAGTTGGGAAGTTATATTTGAAGAAGATCATATGAAGGACAATTATTTAGTCGATTATCACTATTACTGTCATTATATAATTTATTTTTAGCCGTCAAGAACTCGAAATAGGATGGAAGATAGAGAGTGAAGTTTTCACAGGAACTCCACATATAGTTCCGTGTCCAGATGACGATGGAATAACTCCATATTATTGGGTTCCTCATATAATATCATCTCAAAGTGTTCTGGGTGTAAATATCGTGAAACGCGGAGAATGGACTGCTAAGAAAAAACAAGAGATTCAAGTTGTAATTGACGAATCTCTTGAACGTTATCATTGGGTAACAAGGTGTTGGCAAGAACAACTAAAAGATCAGAAGGATCATTTGCACGCTGCTCTTCAAATGTTCTGTGACCGTTTTACTTCTTATACTCCAGAAATGTTGTTAAAACATTCTGCCATTTCCAAAATGTCGGCCAATTTAGAAATAAACCCATTCGTGCGACAGGATTGGGATAATTTCCAACTAAATTTGATTGAGGCTTTAAAATCAAAGCCTTTATCAAATCATTTAGTGAATAGTACTTCTGCTGCTCCAACACGAACATTTAATTTTGAAGATAACAGGAAAAGGTAAATTATTTCTACATTGGATATATTTCCTTAATATAAACATCATCCAATTTCATTTATTTAATTACTAACATAAAACAAAAAAAAAAAAATTTTTTTTTTAAGAGAAAGAGAAAGTGAAATTAATATTATGTCAGCACGAGTTAAGACATTGAAAATTCAGGACGAACAGCCAGCTAGGAAGGAATTTTCACATGTTTATCAAAAACCACAAAAGTCCAAGGTTAATAATAACTTAAAATTACCACAAAATTATAGCTCGAGCTCGAGCTCTTCAAATTCGACGCAATTGGTTAGAAATAGGTTTACCACTCCATGGACAAACGTGTCTTCTCAACCTACAATAAATCATCCACCTATTCAGCCTAATCAAGTGGTACAATATGATGCTGCACCAAATAATAGGTTGATTTTAAACAGACGAAATGAGATTGTTAAATATCTTAAATTAGTCGCATTGGGTGTTAAGCAACGAAAAAGGTCGACAAAATCTGTCCCTTATACCATCGGTATTCATGACAAGTTGTTCCAATTTCTTCCATTCTGTTCGTCTTTTATTACCCCCCCAGAACCTCCTCCAAACACATTTGAAGCTGGCGGATATTATAAAAGAGAATTTGTATTTGACTTCATCATTCCTAATCTGCAACGCGAGGCTATTATGTTGTCAGTATCAACGACGGAACTCACACAACATCATATTCTAGAAGTTGAAGGAGCCATTAATCATTATCTCGATGTACATCCTGTTTTCAAATGCAGGTTGTGTCCAGATTTTAACCCTAGCATTATAAGGAAAATGAGAAATCATTTGAGAGAGGTTCATGCTCTTTTCGCTGATAGAGATTTTGCAAAGTTGTATGTTGATCCCGATGCCGTGATCAATTTTCTTCATTTTGCATTTGTTCCGGAAATTAATTATCTAAAATAAGGAACGATTACAAAAGAAAATTGAAGAAAATATTTGCAATGATCTTTACAGAAATCGAGTTGCCGGTTAATGTTTATTACTCTCGAATTATAATAATTATAGAAAATAAAGATTTATTGTTGATTGGAAAGACGAAATAATGTAAATAATGTAGAATGGATTATAATCATTTAAAAGATATATAATAAAGCTTGTTTAAAAGAATTATTCAATTTATTAAAACGTACCACTAATATATATATAATTATCATCATTTATGTTTTATAATCATCTAAATTAATTTTTAAATAATTTTTTTAAAAATTTCATATATAAAATATCTAAAATTTTTAATTTATCAAAAATATTTAAAATTTTATTAAGATTAATAATTAAAAATAAATTTATAAATAAAATAAAATTTATTTACCATCATTTTAAGTAAATTTATTGTATAATATATAAAAAGATTGCTAAAAATTTAGAATTTTAATTTAATAATAACAAAAAATTAAAGTAGAATAATTTTAATTTGAAAAGAATTATTTAATTCTACTTTTTTTTTAAAAAAAAAAATAAATTATAATCTTTTTCATAAATTTTTATTTATTTTCATATTATTAAAAAAAAACTTATAAAGTATCAAAATTATTACTAATATTTAAATATTTAAATATTAATTATTTATAATTAAAGTTGAAAAATTTTGTTATATTTAATATTATAATTATTAAAAATAAATAATATATATAAATATAATATAGAAATAAATAAATAAATAAATAATATTTATATATTTATATTATCATTTAAAATATATATGATTTTTAGTATAAATAATTTTTTAATTTTTTTGTCTTTCATTTCTTTTTATTATAAAATGCTATTTATTAAAATTATATTATTTTATTTCTTTTTTTTAAATTTAAATGCAATTTTACATTTTAATTAAAATCATCTTAAATATTTTTATAAATTTTATAATAAAATTATAATATTTTCTAAGAAAATTCAAAAAAAATATTATTTAATAATTTTTAAAAATAGATGAATTATATAAAAATAATTTAATTAATTAATAACAATAACTTATTATTTATTAATTTTAGAAATCTGAAAATACTACTAGTTAATATATTTTTATAAAGAAAAATCCAATAAACTAAATTATATTTTCTGATAAAAATTAATTTTAAATTTTTTAAAATTTAAAATATTTTAAATTAATATAATTTTTAATTTAGAAATATAATTTAATCTAATAAGTTAAATTTCATTTTTTTATGATTACTAGATAATAAAATATCTTATTTTTAATAGTTTTTAATAAATAATTTTATATTAACCATTTAAGAATTATTTTATTTAACAAATATTATATATATAAAACTTTTAATTTATTATAATAATTCTTATTTAATAAAAATATTTTAATTAAATAATTTATTATACATGTACATTTGATTTTTAAAATAAACATTTATAACTACTAATATGATAATTATAATGATATATATAACTCTCAAAAACTAAAAAAAAACTTTCTAAAAAAGAAATAGTTTTTTTATCTGACTTAGAAAAATGTATCTTTAGCTTATTTTGTATAATATAAATGATATGAGTTTTAAATTTAGTTATTGCTTTTAAAGGTAATATATACATATTTTTTGCAATATATAGGGCTTTTACAATAAAAAGGAGGAACTGTCAGAAAAAATCAATTTTACTTTTATATACTAAATATGATTTTCAGGCCAAAATATATTTAAATTTAGCATTAACTCATTTTTTATTTTTCTGGCAATTTTCTCCATTTCTATTGCAAAAGTCCTCCTATATATTATATTTTATAAAATATTTTTATATTAGCTTTATTTTTGTATGAAACTTTACATATAATACATTTATATTATTGTGCTGAAAAATATAGTGAATAAGGTGGAGTAAGAACAACAAAAATGTTAGAAGCTTTAATATAGCTACACATGATTTGCTATAAAAAAAATCAATTATAAATAAAAATCAATTTATTTTATATTTAAAGTGGTTTTAATTTACTTACTTTATAATAATACTTAGTAAATTATAAAACAATTATTAAAATATTAGAAAATCAGTTAGATATTTTAGCTATTAGATAGATAAAATAAAAAATAAAAATAATTTTGTAATGTAGTTTTATATTAACTATTAAATTAGGTAATCAATCATAACTATGAAAGCTATCTAATTTTATTTATTATAAGATTTTAAAAGGAAAAAAAAAGCTTAACTACTAATATATACGTATATATAAATAAAATTTTTTAGCTGACCTTATCTATTTTAGTATTTATTTTCTTATTTTTCAATGATTTAGCTTAAAACAAGCATATACATTTTATATATCTGTATTATATTATTTTATTTTTTTCAGATTTCTAAAACTAATTTGTTTTTATCATTGAGATAGATATTTTGAAACTTTATTATTATTATTCTCTAATATTTCATAATTAACTTTTTGTAATCTTCATATATAACTTGAGTTTGTAATATAAATGCAACTCGTGATATGAATATCCTTTATAAATTTCTGAATACTTTTTAATTATAATATCCTATTTCCTAAAAATAAGTAAGCATTAAAAGATTTCACTTATATCATTATAACCAAATACAGCAATATAATATACAATTACATCGTAAAGTAATATCTGTTTAAAATTTTATAATGTACTTTTAAAACATAAATTCTATCTAAACTTAAGATACAAAGTGTTATTTTAATTATAAAAGGTGTATTTATATTGTTTCTATATCTTTTGTTATAAAAAAAATATATATATATAAAATTAAAATTACTAAACTACATGTATATACAATTATATTGCTGTTAAAATTATTTTCAAATTTTATTTTATTTGAATGTTAATAAGTTATATTTTCTAAAAATAATTTCTACTTATAGACTAAAATCCAAAAAATTATTTAGTTATAAAAATTTATAAACAATTTTTATATACATTTTTTTATATAATTTTAAATTAGGCGTTACTTTAAGATGTGACTATACAATAACTTTTCAGGATCAAGATGCTGTGTAAATATTTATTGATACTCTACCAATGATGCAAAGTAATTTATCCAATTTTCCTGAAATTATCTTTTTGAAAAAAATGAATCTTAAATATAAGCTAAAAACTTTTATTTATTGAACTGAATAATCATTATGAAAACAAATAAATATTTAAAAATAAATTGAGAAATTAGAATCTGACAGAATATAAGTAGCATAACATTTCTTTTTTTTTATTATTGAATATGTTTAGTTCTCTTTGATTTCTTTTACTAATCTTATGAATTCATTATTTTATTTTATTGGGAGTGATGTAATAAAAAAAATTTAGTATTGCATATAATATCATATCTACCACAATTAAGACAAGTGAAAATATATAATATTATAATTTTAATATCAAATAGACAATAAATTCGATTAAATCCTTTACCTCACTAATTACCATTCATTATTATACTATGTATTGGTATATTTAAAACATATTATTCTACAGCAAAATAGGATCATGGTTTTTTTTCAACATGCTGATATTTTATATTAAGAATAATTTAGTTATTTGATAGGGACTGCAGTTCGGATGATATTTTAACCCTCCTATCAAATAACTGTTACATATCCCAAACATGCAAAAATTATAATTGAAATCAAAGCATGTCTTTATTAAAGGTAAAATACACGTTTTATTTATTTATATTATATATAAGGTTATAAAAAGAACAATACAAACGTTTCATTAAAGTGCTGATGAATTCATTCTTCTCGTTAAAATAAGAAAATGTTGTGATCATTATAGTGTTCTGTTGCATAAATTATTTATATCCAAAATAATAATCCGAATGGTTGCTAATGTTATCCAACCGATCGAATCTTGCTAAAAGTTGAATGAGATTAATCGTGAACTTGCTACATTTTAGTCATACTTCTGGTTAGTTTTCAAACAACTGCATTTATTGAACACGACATTTATGTAATGATAACGAAAACCTTTTACAAATTGTTCAAATCACTCATTCCAAAGAATTTCATTAGTCGATGAATTTCTGTATAGAAGTTAAAAGTATAAATCCGGTAAATTACAAGATGAAAAGCAATGTGTCAATATTTTTTCTTTATTTATAACCTCTTCATGTTATTAATCTAGTGAGGTTTTTTTTTTCTTCAATTAAATATATATTCTCTCACTCGATTGTTCTTTCATCTTCAACAAAAGCGACTTTATTTAGTGCAAATTAACAAAATCAATTCTTTTAAAAATAATCACAATGGAATAATAGCAAGCTTTGGTACATAACACAATCAAATTGAAACAAATGCAATTTTTAAATGTCATAAAAAAATTTTATCAAATTGTTAAGAGCATTATGATTTTTTTCATTTACGCGTAAATTTTAATAAGTTTGATTTATTACATATACAGAAATATAAAAAAAGGGAAAGTAGTTTTTGGGTTGATTATGATACATTAAATTAAATTTCTAATTATACGTTTCACAATTTATTATAAATAATGATAATAACAAATATAAAGGAAATAAGAGGAGAGACTTTAATCTCTAACTTTAATTCTTATGCAATCGTCACATGTGCCTCTTTGGGCAACGGGCATAATAACGGGTTGATGAGAAAATGAAGAAACGATAGTACAAATTCTATAATTGCCGGCTGGTAAACCCTCATCAACGTTAACACCAAGGACGCCATTTTTAGCGGGTTCGTCTAAACCTTTAAAGAAGGCGAAATACTCCGGATTCGGAACATTTCTTTTGTCATTATCCAATTTTTGGATGGTTATATGAGAATGTCCAACGATTTTTCCGTTATTTAATTCTTGAGGTTTTACGTAATATTCCCTTATCGGATCCGTAAAAGCTCCAGTAATTAAATTTTCAGAAATTGTATCAACCCGAAATTTTTTGTTTGCAGGTATTGTTGTTCCATCTTCTGGTTCAATGATTAAAGTTGAAATCATGTTATCAACATTCGGAACTTCTCCTATAACAGTTTCTACACAATATCCATCACGATTTTGTGTACCATCTCCTTTGTCTAGGTTCGATTTTTTGCAAATGTCATTATTATTTTTGTTATTATTCTGCCGTTTCTCAATATTTAATGGGACGGCATGAGTTGAGCTTTCCATAAAGGAAATTAAAGTAACGATAAGGATTAAAAATAACTTGAGATTTTTTCCCATTTCTACGTTTCTTTTTTCCAGTAATGATTTGTTTTGTAATTATTGATTAATTATTTGTTATGTTGTTGAAAGGATGATAATGTAATTTTACAAAAGTGCACCAGGCAACTTAAGTAATGTTTATGAAATCAAATCAATGATTTCAATTGAAGAAACCGGAATAAGGAAACGAAGGTTTTGAGAAAAAAGCTGCTCTCATCCTTAGAGAATATTTGAGGGCTTTATATAACTTTATTAAAACAATTTAGATTAACAAAGCATTAAAAAAAATTCTGAAACCATTTATTGCGATTCGCTTTATGCGCGTGATGGTGTAAAATATCTTGATGTGACACGGTGGTTTTTTGGTTTTTTTTTATATCTTTAAAATCTACGTTAATTATTATTGTATCACCATCTTATGAATTAAACAAAGATTTTATGGCGCATTGTACACTTTACATCAAGGCTTCCTTTTATTTATTATTTTATGTACCAAAATAGGTATTTTATAATTTGCGCTGGTTACTTTTCCAACTCTTTTTAGGATTTACAATGTTCATCAATGTCGTTTTACTAGAAAGGAACACAAGAAAAAAAATTGATTTCAAATTTGAGCTAAACCAGAACATACGATTAAGAAAGTGGGGAAATGATTTAATACTGGTTTTAGAAGGATTGCATCTTACCTTTTTTTTTTTAGTTTGGATTAATAATCATCATAATAAAGACGATTGTTAAATGTTTAAAAAAAAAAGAAAAAAAAAAGAGTGATACATTTCAATTTGTTTTTTTTTTGGCTCACATCAATGATAAAAAACCCCTGTTTCGTAAAAACTACCCAAGATCAAAAAAAAGACAAGGAATTAAAAAATCCTTTTTTATAATAGCTTTCTTTTTTATGTGAATCTACAATTGTTTTATTACTAATAAAAAAATTTATTTTTTCATTATATTCCGATAAACGCAACGTGATGATACAATGAACTTTTAAATAATACAAATGGAATTGTTTTTTAATAAAATGGAACAGGTTTCTTGCGCAATGCTTTTTGACACAAATATGTAATCAAATTGATGCACATGATAAAAGAAATTCCTTAAATCATGAAAGAATGGATTTACATGCTGTGGAAATAGAATTTTTTGTACTTTCATGATTTGAATAATTTTTAAATATTGTCGAGCGAACGAATTTATACCTGCCAAGGATATATACAAATTTCAGTCAAAGATTACATCATTTGACATATCCTGTATGCAGTTTAGATTAAGACACGTGTTTTCCATATAGTAATTGGGATCTAGACTCAATTTAGAGATGTAGAAACGACGCGATTCGCGAGATTCTTTAAATCGTTATCGTCTGTATTTAAGATACTTTGTATTGTTATGGATTGACAGTTAAAATGATGTATGTAAAAAATGAGAATATTGAAAATTTATTTTATTGTATTTAAGAATACAATATGGAATTTTTTTTTTTTTTTTTAAAATTGAAGTTTCTAAATATTTTTCTCTATCATTTTCTTTCAATGCAATGTCTAATTTTTTCTAAATTTTTTAAACTTTATGATGACGATTCCGATATCAAAACGTGATGAGATTAAGAAATATTTATACTCGGTAATTTTTTTTTTTTACTTTACTAACGGTAGTATAATAATTATACTCACGCGGTAAAAAAGACACGTATATTTCATTTACCAGATTAAGTTTATACCACGTGTACCAAAAAAGGGTGCTGAATTTTATAAGAATATTAAGTAAATTACCTTACAAACAAAACGATTAATCAAAATCAAAATGTATTTTTATCGCACCTTATTAAATTTTTATGTAACTTGTATTTTAACTCTCTTTCGTCTCTTCGATAGCTGCTTCTTCTACTTTCGAATTCAAATTTGTATTCTCAGAATTTTCTGATGAATTTTTAGAAGATTTTTCCGATACCTTTTTTGAATCCTTATCCGTAGAAATTTTTGGATTACCGTTCGTTATCTCTGTGACTTGTTCTTCTTGATTTGTCGTCGTAGTTGTTTCTTTCTCAATTTTCTCATTGACATTTTTCTTATTTTTAGCTTTTTTAGAAGGACGGGCAGTACTCGTATTTTTAGATTTACGACCTCTTTTACCAGTTAAGGTTCCCTCTTGTTTAATAATTCCTTCAGATTCTTGAGAAACTTTTGGTTCGTATACGATAAACCTATTGCCCAATGTGTTTCTCGAATTGGGACGGGATGATTTTGATTTGTCTTCGGGCGAACTCTTTTTACTCGATTTTTTATTTTGTTCAAATTCAACCGATTCGCTGGACTCGGATTCTGCTCTTGAAGATCTGACAGAATCATTCTTATTACCGATGTCACGTGTTGGCGTTAGTTCTCTTTCATTTTGAGGGGAAGTATAATGGGTAGGACTTTTCACCAATTCCTGTGGATATGATGCTTGTTGTGAAGTTGAAGGCTTGGATGGCTTATCACGTTCATTTTGATTCGATAGTGTCTTTTCACGATCAATTTGGTTAGAAACCTGTGGAGGTATTTGAATCTTATCGCGTTGACTATGCATGACAGCCTCTTGACTTTGTTGTTGTTTTTGTTGTTGCTGCTGATGCTGTTGCTGATGTTGATGCTGTTGCTGTTGATGTTGTTGTTGTTGTATTTGCCAAACATTATAAGAAAGATGCTGTTGAGAAATTGAAAATAATTTTTTTTTTGCCAATTCCGTATCGAAACGGGATAAAAAATCTGAGTATTCAAGCAATTAGAACATTAAAGAGATGAAACATAAATTGAGGTGAATAGTCTTACTTTGGGCTGGACTCCTGTGGCGACGGAGTTCATGTCTTGACGCGTACCTTGATCAGCAATCATTTCGGAAATTTGTTCGGTTGATGATGGGGATTGCTCTGACGAAGGAACTTGTTGTAACGGTGAAAATACTGATATATGTGAAGGAGGTTGACTAGGCATTGGATTACCGAACCGTTGCATTAAGTGATGATACGCTTGCATACCTTTCAGTAAATCTTTACTTAAAGTTTCTGGAATTGGCTGATCTGATAATTGCGGTTGTAAAGATTGTAAACCCAATTGATTTTGTGAATGATGTTGTAAAGAACCGGATGAACTTTTTGGCGCCAAAGGGCGTAATGACGCAGGTTTTTTCTCTGGTTTTGATGATATTTGATCAAAAGAATGTTTACCAAAAGTTCCTAATGAAGAAGGAGTTGAAAAAGGAATTTTCTCTTGTTCAAGTAAACGAGCCAAACTTTTTGCCAAAGGACTTACAACAGGAACTGTTGAATTCGATAAACTTGATATGATCGTTTTTCCACATTTTTTTGCTGATGGATCAACTTCAATCTCAGTTGCCTCAATGTGTACCTCTCCGTTATCAACGTAAAGGAAGAATCCAGATATAAAAAATTGTGAATAAGCATCCCAATTGACCGCCATGTTATTCCATTTTTCATTATCAGTTTGATAACCTACTCTAAACCTTGGATCTGTGTATGATCGTGAGTATCCACTATGGATTGATGATTTCGTTCGAACAAATTGACAATTTTCTATTTGCCTTAATGAACCGGGAATAGGTTGAGTATGAAAACTCAAATATGGAGCAGAAAGTGGTATCTCTTCAGGTTCCCAACAACCTGATGACGGTGATGGGAAAGGAGTTGCTACTGATACATTTAACTTTTTTTTTTTATTTTGATGATGATTATGATTATGATTGATTATGATTATTGATCATGATATGATTTGACATGAAGAATTTTTTTTATAATTTAAGTTTAAAATATCGAAATCCATAAAGAAATCGCAAATCATTTAACTGAAGAAAATCAATTACCGTAAATCCTTCTTCTTTTTCTATAGTCTCGTAAGAAAATTGTCCCACCAAAGTAACAACATCGCCTTCAGAGAAAGGATGACAATATTTTGTCATTCTCGCACTTGAATGTATCCTAAATCGAAATGTACCAAATTGACCCTCTTCACATCTAAATCTACCCACACCATATTCGATACCATTCTGACGCGATTTTTGTTCTATCAAAGCGATAACATGCATAGTAGAACCCATTTTTTATACGATGATTTGTTCTACCTTTCGCTCCTTTTTGATGATAACTATGAATAAATAGTAAAATATATATATGTGTGTGTATGTGTATATGTATCGATGAAAAAAAAAGAAAAAGAAAAAGAAAAAAAAAATTTATCAACAATGGAAAAGAGAAAAAAATTTTTACAATCGGGGATCAATTAAGAAAAAAAATAAAAATAAAAAAATGATTTTTTTTTGTGGGAAATTATTCAACTACTAATATTTTAATTTTTAATTTTAAAAATAAACACGAGATAATTACCTAAAATGTGATATCAAGGTCAGCAGGTTTGAGTATTTTCTTTTAACTATTTCCAGATACGGTAAATTTCAAACCGGATCAATGAAAAATAAAACAAGGGAAAAAAAAAATAAATAGAGGAATGGTTATTGAAAGATATTGATTTCCTTTTTTAACTCACATTTGCGTAGACAAAGGAATTTGATGATTTAATATTGATGGTCGAAAAAAAAAATTGCAAAAAAAAAAGATTAAAAAAAAAGCGTATAAATAAAAATATTTTGGTTATAAAAGGAAATTTCAAATTGGCTGAAGAATAAATTTAGGGTTGACGACAATAAAATACTCGATTTGGTAAGTTCCAAAAAGTATAAATAAAACACAATCATATCAAGATAAAAAGGGAGATACCTAAAAAGTTTATAACTTATCGGCAGAATAATTAAATCTTAACCAATTAAACATTTTATTTATTTTGAGGGTTATTGGATTTGCATTGAAACTTTCTTTAAATGAATATTTCAATGAAATCCATTTTCAGATTGTCAAATATTATATGGGAATTGGCGGAATTTTAAAGTCGTTGAATAAAAAAAAATGTTTGCAAAGAAAAAAAAAGGAAATTCTTGAAACGAATTTTACCGAATATAATAAGCCTATAATGAAATTTGCTGTATATTACCAATTTTAGATTTCCCGAGGATCATTTTTTTTGAAGTATTCAGGTAAGGAATCAATGGATTCCCCAAAAAAGATTATAAATCTCTTTTTGATTGATGTGACTTTTACATTTCCATTGTTTAAATGATATGACCTATCGACCAATCATGTGCACGCAGCAAAGGGATATCATCTACCTTTTTTCAACTTAAAATCAAAACCTTCTTTTTACCCTCTCATTTTAAAAAAAGATTCGAACTTTGCCCCATTTTTTTTTTTTTAGTAAACTTTAATGTGTCGTTTTATTCCTTTTTAATAATCGGAGTTTTTCGGAGTTGGTTTCATTGGTTTCGATTCTTTCGACGTGTTTTGTCTCACGACAGCTGCGTTGCAGTAAAAAATTCCCTAAAGTGTAAAGATACCAAAGGTCCTCTTTCTAAATTCTTTTTCCTTAATTATGTGTGTCAATGAAAATAAATGAACTTCCATTAATGTTATCATTTTCAATTCCACAAAGGAAAGTTACTTTCAGGTAAACATTCCAAAAAGCGTAATCTGTAATTCACAAATAAAATTGTACCACTTACATTGTGTTCAATTCTTCGAAATTTCGAGCATATATTTCATTTTTTTTTTAAAATAAAAAAAATAAGGGTTCGTTTTGCACGTCATAAAACCAAAAAAAAATTTTAGATTTTGAAAAATATCTCATGTTATTACTTGAACAATTTTAAGAACAATGATATCATTGAATGAATGTTCTCATCAATTCAAAATTTATTTAGTCTTTTTGGGATGAGATCAATTAAGCTATAATTAGATTACATCAATAATTATAATTGAATTTCAAAATCGAGTTCCAAAAGCCTGAAAGTTCATTATCCTGATCTTTTCTGGTATTATTATTGTTGTTGTTGGTTGTTATGAACACTTTATTTCATTAACAACCAGATATGGCGCTTGCGTGTAACACGGCGGCTGCGGCGAAAAAAAAAACTCGGTAAACTTGTGAATAGATTCTAATGAAACATAACTTCATATGCGTTCTCTATTTTTTTGTCTATAGATTGATTGTTGTAGTGCTCAATTATTCTAATAAGCCACGTTTTTATCAAATTTACATTCCATGTTTATAAAGATGAAATAAATAATCATTGGTGCACAGCTTGTCCTCAAAAGAATCTACTTGGTTATAGTTTGCTAACTCAAACAAGAATGAACCTCGGAGAAAAACCTTATCAATTCACCTCAAATCGAGACAGTAAATGTTTTACACTTGAAAAGAAGAAATTTTGCACAAGATTAAAAATGTCCATAAACTTGGAAGAAGTACATGTAAATGCACTCATCCCGCATTTCCTTATAGTTAACAAAGGTCTGCCAAAAAAAAAGTTTGGCGTAACGTTTGTATTGCACTAGTAATAGTTTAACGTTCGAGACCATAAACAGTAGCAATTTGCGGAGCAGAGTATACAATAGTTTCACGTCTCCGATTAAAGATTTTCTATTTTACAATAAAAATTTATTCTGGGAATAGTTTTTAAAATTCAAATTCTTCCATTATGAAAGAATGAAATTGTTTCTTAGCCAAATCGGACTTAATATTGTGCGACTACGTCATATGTAAAGTAACAATGCCTATAGTAAATTCATTTTTTCCCAATTAAGCGAAAAAATGAGCCACCAAAACAAGATTCGGCTATTTTTTACGAGTAAATTGATAACGATAATTGATTTAGAGGGTCTTTGTAACAAAATGTTATAGCTCGGTTATCCTTATTCTATGTTAAATTTGCACTTTAAATTTTCTCTCCGAGATATAATTTTTATACAACAATTATTTAATATTAAAATTCATAAATCGGATTCAAATCGAAAATAGATTCGTTCTCACCGATGGTCTTCTAATCCCCAATTATTGTATTTCCAAACTTAAACTGTATTTGACGCGCATCAATGGAATTACCATTACCATAACAAATGAAGTGAAGAAATATTTGGTTCACAGAATATTTTTATTGCTATAAAATTGAAAGTTCAACACTTTCACTAAATCTTTCCCTTTGTATTGTTAAACAAAAAAAAAGATTTTCTTTTTTTAAAATAAATTCACCAGTAATTTGCTTGCATTGATGAAGATAAAAAAATATTGTTCTTTGGCGCATAAAGTTATACCCTTTTTGTCCTATTTTAACAATTGATAAAATAGGAAGGTAAAGCAGCCTATACAACAATGAATGAACACCAATGGGATCCACATATAAATATTTGTAATTGATAAGGATTTCGTAATTAGCTTTGTCGAAAACTTTTAATTATTTATTTTAAATTTACTTTATATGGTTCATCTAAAATAGTTTTTTTTAGGTCAAAGTTTACAATTTCTTAGTATGACAAAAAAAAGATAAGCTTGATCGGATTATATTAATTGAATTCCATATTCTTTCATTCTTTCTTCGGAAACTTCAGAAGGACAGGATACTGTCAGATCACTACCGGAAGCGGCTTTTGGAAATGCCATAACGTCTTTAATAGATTTTGTTCCACATATTGTTGCCAATAACCTATCAAATCCTATAATCATAAAATCATAAAAATATAATCACCACAGAATAATAATAATTATTTAAATAATCATGTGATTTCTTACCCAATGCAATTCCACCGTGGGGAGGGCATCCTTGTTCAAGTGCTTTTATCAAGTGATCAAATCTCTTTGCTTCTTCGTCACTTAACTAAGTACACATATAATGTTAAACGTTACAAGACCAAATATAAGTTTATATGAAAGGATTAACGTAAATACCTTTAATATTTCATTAAATATCATAGATTGTAATTTTGCTGAATGAATTCTTATGGATCCACCACCAATTTCTATTCCATTTAATACTAAGTCATAATGCTGTCCTTTAACCTAAATATTACAAAATTCACATATATATAAGTTAAAGCAATAACGATAAAACGAACATACTAAACACACGCCTGCTCAGGATCTTTGAAAAGTAATTTAACGTCTTCAGGTATAGGTGCTGTGAACGGATGATGCGTTGAAGCCAACCGTCCAGTTTCATTATCATGAGTAAATAAAGGAAATGATTCAATCCAAAGAAAGTTATAATCAAATGGTGATATCTTCAATTTATCTAAAATGAATGAATGAATAAATAAGGTTTTTATAATAGGATATAAAATTTGATGCAACAAATACTTTTCGATTGAAACAAATTTGCAATTTGTGATCGAATTCGTCCCAATAAGGTCCAACTTCCCTAATAATAATAATAATAATAAAATATCATTTAAATTAATGAAAAATCTATAAGTCAAGTGGATTTACCGTAAACAGCTGCTTTCTTTTGTTCACGATCACCAAATCTTCAACTTCAACATCAAGTTCTTTAGAAAGAGAATTATCTTGATTAAGTAGATTAGGCGAATTTTTCAATATAGGCGAATCAGAAAACCAAGATTTTAACTTTTCGGCATTCACTTTATGAAATTCCTGTTATTTATTTTATTTTAGTTTATTTTTTTTTTAAAAAAAAATAATCCATATATAAACCTCTATTTATACGTACACATTTGAATTTGGAATCTTCTGAGGCATCGTCCAATAATTTTAAAGACTTAATCTCGCTGTTACTTAATAATGTGGCGCCATTTTTGACAACTAAACATTCAGCATAATATCCGGATTGATCCAAAGGATCAAAAACAAATGATGAAATATCTTTGATCTGTAAAGAATTTATTTATGAATTTAATATAAAATTTTCGTTTGCTAAAAAAATCTTTTTAATCATAAATATTTACATACTTCCATGCCATAACGCGTATCTGGCTTGTCAGACCCAAACTTGGCAAAAGAAAGAATCACATTAATAATCTTCAATATATATATATATGAATATAAATTAACCTATATATAATAAAAAGTTACTTTGCTTATGGCTTCTTTAAAAGTAATTCTCGGGAATGGTATCTTATCCTTTAAATCTATCCCAAGAACTTTTTCCCATACTTTTATCAACAATCTTTCAATTAATGACCTTATCTCATCTGCTTTCAC